AGCCTGAATCTCAGAAACAAAGGCTGGGTGGGAAGAGATGTTTTGCGAATCGAAGTATATACATAAGCAATAGTGAGCAAATCTGGAAAGCCTTGGAGGAAAACCATCAGAAATGAAGACTCCTAGAAGGGGGTAGAAGAGAGAGAGTTGAGTAGAGTTTAAACCCTCTGTGCATTCCTGCCTCTTCTCGGCGCCTCATTGAAATCCCCATTTTCAGCTGAGCTTGGGAAAAGGGTCCATTCCATTTACACCTCCAATATTCTCAGTTCTTTGACTTGTCGTAAATAACTTGGTCCTCCCTAGCAAAATAAGAAAGCATCAATAATTACCGAAACGGGAGGATGGGGAGGGAGGTGAGTCCTTCCCTGCACCATTAGAGAGTCAAAAAGTAAACAGGAGCCAGACAGTTAATTCAAATTCTGATCGATGAATTTCTATCCATCCTAGCCTCTGGTACTCTCTTGCATCTGTGCTGTCCTTAACATTTTTACATGGTTTGGAATATTGTTTCTTTTATTCTCCTATATAGCATTTTTATTGCTCAGCGCAGGGATATTGTAGGCAAAATCATTACAACAGTTCTAGCAATCCATTTGTCTCCCTGATTCTCTTTCTGTCTGCTTATCCATGAGCTGAGCCAAAATGCAAAGAGGGCCATTCAATTTTAACAATCTTGAGGAGTCCCAGGAGTGGAAAGTGACTTGTTTATCCTCTTTAAAGAGACAGCAGATGTGCACCAAAATGTTACTGATCCTTCCTTAATGTCTTCTGAATTCTCTGTTTTTGTCAAAGAACTATCAGCTGAGTCTAGCAAGGATGGTCTGTACTCTGATTTGGCTTCATAAATAGGCAAATGTTATTGGCCGACTTGCATCCTAATGAAGCCCAAACCAGCTGAGGGTCATACTTCCTGTTCTTGGGCTGCCGCTGTGTTCTTGTGCATAACAATTTTGTGGTGAAAAAAATCTCAGCAAAGGTACGTTTCATGGAATTTGCCAGCTAAAAGCATGCTTTTGGTAGCAAATAAGCTTGCTTATGATTCTAACTTTCCTAAATAACCATTCATCTCTCCATGAACCACCATGGTCAGTACAGGTCTAAGTGAAAGCTCAGCCTTGGCCTCCCTTTTTCTAAAATGGAAGCGTAGCCAAGAAGCATCATAGCAGCCAAATCTAAATTATAGCTTTTATTTATTCATTCATTAGATGTCTATCTAACCTTTACTCCGAGAGCTCAGTGTCATACATGACAAGCTCTGAGCGTCCGTTTTTCCTTTAAAACAGCCTTGTAAGTTGGGTTGGACTGAAAGAAAGTGACTGGCCCAACCAGCAAGAGGCTATTCCTGACCGTGGATTTGAACCTCCAACACCGTATCTACTATACCACACTGCCTCTCATAGGCCGTTTACTTCCCTCTTTCAGAACCAGCTCTCAGCTCAGACTTGAATGTATTTAGTGGCTTGGGGAATATTGCATTTAGTATTATTAGGGACTGGAATTCTGAGTTTGGGGTTGATCAAGCTGAGAATGTTTGTTCCAACCAGGCTGCTGTTGTATGTTAGAACTACATTATAGAGTTCTAAGTGGACGTTGTCTTATTTTCTGGACTGCCGAGGTTGAAATACACTTGTTCTTCTTCCACTGTTTTCAGTTTAGAACAGTGTTTCCATGGGTAAATAAGAAGGATGTGAAATTGCTTTGGGAAGGGGAAAAAAAGCTGTGTTGGCAAATACACACACACACACACACACTGAGAGAAATTCTTTCTTCCTAAAATACTCCACCTTTCAATACATGTTTTAGCAAAGTAATTTTCTGTGCTTAACAAATGAAAAGATGAGAGTTTCCCAACCTCTTCCTTCAGCACTGGGTGAAATCATTGCATATGTTTGGGAAGGAACTTCACTTACTTAACTTTGGCCTGGGCTAATCCACTGTTTGGAGCGTGGCCCTGAGAATGCCACTCAGGACGTGACCTGAAAGTGGTTTTGCATCTCTGACCTGTTGAAAGAATTAAAAGCATGATTGCAGCAGAAGAAGGAGAACCCTGCATTTCAGTAGAGATTCAAGGTCTATCTACCCATGTTGCAAAGGAAGGAAGAGGTAGACAATGGAAGACCATTGGGAGGGGAGGACCCCCATTTACACTGCAGGGAGCCCTTACCGAAAGGTGTTGCTATCTCCAAAATGCTAGCTACCTTCTTCTTTGCCCCCAAGTGAATAATTCTATTCCTAATATTAGACCATCCCCATCAAGCATCAAGGCAGGGCAGGGTAGAGTTTGGCTAAGATGGAAGTTCAGCACTTGGGCTGATTTCTCCAAGGGCAGAATCCATTTGCGGATTCTCGTCTCTCTTCGTGTTATAAATCTGAAACGGTGACAGTAAAATTGCAGGGCACCAGCAGGGCAGAAATGGATGAAATGTCATTGAAACAGGGGACTTGACAGGCTCCTGGCTGGAGCTCTCCAAGGTGCTGAACCAGCTTCTGCTGATCTCCAAACAGTCCCCCCCCCCAGCTTTTCAGTACCCACAATGTGCCATCCAGAACATGCCATAAGTTATGATGCACCAGATAGACATATTCAGACTGGTGTGCCTTGGATTAATTTGATTTTTATAGTTTTTAAGATGGACAATACCAACCATGAGTGGAAAAGAGAAAGTTGTACTTACAGTAGGGGTACAATTTACTTACTTACATGGCTGCCTATTTCAAATCATGATTCTAGGTGGCTTACCACATCCATTAAAGCGTAAAAATTTACAGAGGATTTTTGACTGATTGATTGATTACGTGCCATCAAGTCGTTTTCGACTCCTAGCGACCACACTGATAGATTTTCTCCAGAACGATCTATCCCTAATCTGTTCTTTCAGGTCTCCTTACAGAGGATTAGCAACTAGATTAGCAAACCAAGCGGGTGTTTGCACTGCCTTAAAAAGGTAAATCTTTATTATAGTAGACACAGGTAACCCAGCCCCACTTACTTTTTTTTTTTTTTAAGAGTATGAGGAATGGAACAGGAAGCTGGCTTCTTGAAAAGTAAAACACCAGCGTCTAGTGTAATGTTTGCTTGCAAAAATGCCTTGGGAACCCACCGTGGACCTTCGGTGGATTTAAAATCTGCAAGATGGCATCTGCAGTGTTGTGACTGGAACCCTTCCCCTAGTGTTGATGTATACAATGTCACTGCATGTACAAAAGGAGTGGGGTAAGGCTTCACTTGCAATGCTGCACCCACCATCTTTCAGATTTGTACCCCTTCTTGCCGATGTTACTGAGACCCATAGAATTCCAACCGGGATAGTCCAAAGCATCCAACTGGAGAAGTTCCATCACCTTCCCAGAAGCCATTTTGTGAAGTCACCTATCATGGGCTTCCAAAGGGGACCCTGACCTGAAGATGTTGTCTGAGACATGGCATAAGCTTGAGGGACAGAGATTCAGCTTCGTTAGAGATATTAATTTGTTTCAGGTTGGCAAAATTCCTTATCTACATACACAGGAAAAAAGGAAATGTAAAAATGGTGGCTTCTGTTTTTTTAAAGCCAATATTCTTCCCTGTGCATTCCTAAAGAGATTGTCTTCCTTAATTGTATCCATTTTCTGCAACTTTAAAGCCCTTAAAGTGTGGCTTTTTTCTGGCTCTTTTGTTTTCAACATTTGCAGCGAGAGAATGGCACATCAGGTGAATACTAAAGAGAGAGGCTGCTTCTCAAAGAAACAAAGAGGTGGTCCAGGAGTTAGGGTAGCTTCCATCTCAGAAAACCCACTGAGTTCCTTTCGTAAAAGTTTTAGGCCAACCTAGGAAGATTTGAAGAGAGCAAGAGGAAATGCGCAAAGATTTGAAGCCAGAAGGTTGAAGGGATTGGTTCCATCTTTCCTTTAAGCAGGAGAGAGCGCAAAATTTTCCAGTGCCGCCATTTTATACAGTTATCTGAACTATTCCATGTAAGCTGCACTGGTAAGCAATTAACATTTAGCGGACTAATGATCAATAAATGTCTGTGACAACAGCGGTGGCCTGAATTTTGTGGAACCTAGATGGCTTTTTATGTTCAGGATGCCATCTGCTCAGATAGGGCTTGCAATGTTCTTGTGCTCCTCAACTAGGTGCTGTTGGACCTTAGTAGGGAGTCCTGGAGATGGCCTGAATTGAATGATAGATTTTCAGACAAGGTGGGGACATTATGGGATTATGATGAACCCCCCCCCCACCATTTGCCTTTTCCTTTCCACTCCCCCCACCTATTTTATGGATGGCCCCAGAATGTGATCGAGAGGCATTGTCCTCACTCCAACATGTCTTCATGATGACATCACATCGCTGTGCATTATTGTGAAGTCAAATCAGAGCAAGAACAGAGCATTTGGTCTTCGATCTGGGTTAAAAACAAACAAACGCTACTGCCAGCTTTGAAATCCCTCATTACCAGGGACATTTGACACACACCTACTGAGCCGAAATTATGCAAAGTTAAAGGGTAAAGGTGAAGTCTCTTTCAAGTTGACCTTCAGTTCCATGGATTTCACGGATGCATTAATGTAGCTTATAGCCCAAATGCATGGGGGGGAGGTGACAGTTGCTTAGTTAATGATGGTGTCTCCTGTTAATTTTCTTTTTTCCCCCCAAGCTAATTGCTAGAAGAGGTACAGTTTCTCCAACTCACTATAACAGATTTAAACAGATAATTTTGCCTTCCTTTTAACTGGCACGGCCCCTTCTCCCCAGACATTTGACCTAAAAATCCCAATATTCAGACTTAATATTCACTATATACTCCATGTATTTATTTGTAAACGCCTAAAAACGATGCCATTTTTATTTGTTTAAAAACTTGATCCCATGTTATTTTTAATTTTTAATGTCCCTGTTTTTTCTTATCCAATTGTCCATTTATGACGTGTTGTTTCTACCCTGATGGTCTAGATTTTTTTAAATCACCCTTTGCCATCCTGTTTAGTCTAATACCTTTTCTCTGTTTCCTTCCATCCAGAAGCAATAATAATAATAATAATATGCTCAACGAAGTTGTGCGACTGAACTTTGAAATTGCCAGCTTCAGCAGCCTTTCAGGAACACAACCGATATCTTGGCAAGTGGAATATCCTCAAAAGAAAATAACAGAGATGGCCCTTTCTGAAATTTTCATTTGCCAAAAGGATCTAGTGGGGATCGTCCCATTAGCAATGGTAAGAGAGCCTGAATTTATATCCCTACAAGATTTCCAAAAGATCTATTTTTACCATTAAGTGCTCCTGTGTTGCTTTAGTGTGAACCATGCAATTCTGCAGTACTTTTTCTAAAAAAGCATTCTATCTATCCTTCAAGAAGTTTGGAGAGCAATGTCTTCCTAACATACTGGTGAGGTTGGTTGAAGAACGGTGTATTGGCTGAAGGTCACCCAGCAAACATTTCGGCAGACTGTGCACCTGATTAAATCTACCATTCTGATCATGATGGCATATTGAATGCTCCTATTCAACCAAGAGATGGCTTTAATACTACCTACTTTGAAATTTCAAATAAATTTGAAGTGCTGTTTTGTAGGTGGTTTTTCTTCCATCAGAGTCAAGATGAGACTGTGTGGTTCTGTTCAGAACTAGGACTGCACAGTCAGGGGTTCCATGAAATTTCAATCAAAAAGTCCTTTTGAAGGACCACGTTGGAGCAGATGGCTGTCTTTCTTTGTGAGATGCTCAAGGATAATTACTGTATGCAATTATTCTTCTTCCAACTGTTCTCCACAAAGTCACCTAGTAACTGACATCACACAGCATGCTAGACTGGGCAGAAGTGTGGTTGGGTAGTTGCATTTTGGCATGTTGTGAGAACCCAACTGTGGTTTCCATCCATTGTATGAATCAGGTCTTCCTGTTAAGCCATATTATGATTAGTCTGGGCGTAGTGTGGTTATATGAAGTCAACGATTATGTTTCTTGAAATCTAGTTGAAATGGATGAACTTCCATGGCTAAGGGTAGACTCAAAACTCACTGATCCAAATGCAACACCTTACTATTATGCATCCAGTTCATCTAAGGCTGGGCTTCTTCCCTACTGTTTTTCTTCAAGTAGCCAGGCAACAGATGGGCTATCAACATGCTACTAGGTAATTAACCAGTTTTATTCTTACGATGACGATACATACTGAAAGTGAGAACAAATGAAGGCCGCATGGTCAGATAGCTGGGGAAGGTGATCCTTGGGAGTAAAAAAAAGATTAACAGAAAGAGAGGTGCTTTGACACACATCCACACAAATGTCTGGGTAACCCTCCAAATATTTTTGGCTCAGCCCTCGTCAAAGAAAAGTAAAGCCAGTTCTGCGGAGTTGATGCTAATCAGAAACTAATAATAAGTCCTTCAGCTGGGAATGTTAACAGTATTTGGTGGTGCCTGGCCAATAAATTATAAATAGACTCCAGTGTATAGCCAGGTTGCCTCCTAATAATACACTCTGAATTGCCTTCTTAGTTGTGTGTGGGTCTGTTCTCTGCCAAGCCTTATCACCCTGGTTGGCACAGCCTGTAACACAACATGCTAATAGCATCAAGGTGAATAAAAAAGCCAATGCTTAGAAATTTAAAAAATAAAAAAATTGCTGGCAGGATCAGACAAGATAAAGAGAATGTTTGCTCTTCTTCTCTTTTGCTAACTCTGCAGGTCCAGCCAGCCACTTATTTTACTCTCATTATTTTTTAACTTCTTCGTTTGTAAGTTAATCTCCTGCCGAGCTGATTACCTGACAATTCCCTTGTTCAGAATTGCAGGGTGAGAAAACAGGAGCATCAAAGGAAAAGTTTGATGCTGCCATCTGCTAAGAAGTCCAAAACTGCTCTGCGAGTTTGAGAACTAAAAGGAGGGAAAGCAAATTCATGCCAATTTGGCATGAAAAAAAAAAGAGGAACCTAGTTCTGGAATCATCATCATCATCATCTTCATCATCTTCATCATCTTCATCATCTTCATCATCATCATCATCCTCATTTCATTGAGAATGTCCTCTGAATCCAGGTGTAGATCTTTAGAAGTCTTCCTATGAAGTTGGTTTCCTGGTCTGGTCCATCTCCTAGGACTGATGGGATCACTCAGCATCTACCTAATGCTATGAAAAGACTTAGCTGCTTTAAAAAGCTGCAACCAAGTGCTCCCCTCGCACGCTGAAGCATCTTTTCCCCTCAGACCCTGAAGTGCCACACAGCTCTAGTCATCCACATCTCGCAAATGCCTTTACCAGATGGGAAGACCAAGAGGACGTGGTTCAAAGTTGTCACTTCGCTGCTCCCACGACAGAGTCATTGCTCACGTTCTGTCTTCTGATATCTGCCTGTCGTTCGTGCTGAAGAGAGAGCTTTAAATCAAGCTCGCATAAAAGCCCTGTGATGTTTTCGTAGCGTGCATGGGGAAAAGGAGGTGGCAAGAGCTAACCCAGCATACAAATGATTCAAACCATGTTTCTGAGGTCTCTGTCAATCTAGGGATCTGAGAGCCCTTTTTAACTGGCAGGCAAAGGAAGCAAACCTGCTTCTTCTCTCTTTCCACCATTCATAAGTTGGCCCATCAACCCAGTTCAACCCCTCTCCCCAGGTTTAATGGTTATGGATGCAGGAAAACATCTTACAGTGTGTGGAAGGAAAGCATTTTAAGAGGGTCGGGGGGAATCTAACCCAGTTAGCTTTCCCTTTTGGGAGCCGATCCCCATAATGCATTTTGAGGGACAACCTTCAGAGAGTTGCTAGATGATGAATGATAAACCAAGAAAGCAAGTGGGTCAAAGAAGGCATCAAATGACAAAATTAAGGTGACAGCCTTGTTGAGACCTGTCCATATTTATTTATTTACCTGTGGGAGGGTATTATGGTGGGAGGGGGAAAGAGAAGTCACTACGGAGGGCCGTGATAAGGGGGAAAAAACAGGGAATTTGTCACTCGCCATTTTTTACTTAGGGCCTTCCTGCCCACTAAAGTTCTTCCCTCGTTCACGGGTAGGATTTTTGTATGTTTTCTGTATTTTATTCCTTACCCTTTTTAGAAGCTCCTAAGTGCCTTAGCCTGGCTTTTCAACAGCCTGATCTTGTTTGAATGGTGACGAGAACTAATTGGGAAGTCTATATCTGTTTGGGTTCAGTTCGGCACGTCTTCAATCCAACCGTTGCCTCGTGAATTATTTAGAATGCACATTTATATAAAGCGCAACAATGGATATACAAAACTTTATCTTACATGCATGCTTGTGTGCAACATTTCCAAACAGAGACTTAATTATCTTCTGGGCAACAACCTGCCACATAAATACTCTCTTTCTTTTAAGCAGCCTTTTCCAAACATCAATTTTTGAAATTTCACAGAATCGCCAGAAATTCTGCTCTCAGATTCTAACTATACGTGTATATTAGCAAGATGCCAGATCCATACTGACTACTATCCATAAATGATGCAGAGGCCTGGGTTCATACAACACACCCAAATATAGCTAAGAAGCTCTATTTGCACAAAGACTGAGCTTTGGGGGGGTTTAACCTTGGTTAGTTGTTGTTTTTTTATAATGGCAGCCATGACCACATGGTCAATCTCACAATCACGGCCACCATCTTAATCTTGTTTTCCCCTTCCTTTGGACACCCTTCCTTGATCCAAGCACATAACATAGCCACTACCATCTCTTGTGGATAGCTTAAGTTGGTTTGCTTATTTATGGCTTAACATAATCAGATCCTAGCCATTTTGATTCACCCGCCGTAGTTTATGGTTTGGCATGATGTACCAACCCTGCCAACTTGGGGTGGTGGTGGTGGTTCAGGATTTATTCAGGAGCCTCTAGCTGAAAGCCACGTGTGAATCCAGCTTCCAAGTTGATCCACTGAAAGGAAACTGAAAAAAAAAATGTTTCAGTGGGTCTCTTCTTAGTATGACTAAGGTTAGGCCTGGTCTCTTATCTTCAAGAAACTAGTTTGGGTTGTCTTGGGAATGGGTGTTTTGGGGGGTTTCATGGAGCTCTGGGTCCAGCAGGGTTTGGAAATCCAATTCCACGTTATGCCCCGTTGCAATCAGGCCAAGTTACAACAGGCCAGTGTTGTCCAAACTTGGCCACTTTAAGATGAGTGGACTTCAACTCCCAGAAGTCCACTC